AGCATTACTTCTGTGCTGAGGGGCAAAAGGGAGTCTTAGAGAGTAGGACCTACTCAAGGTCACAGAATGAGCTCAGGGCAGAGCGGGGTTGGACTCTAGCTTCGTGTTCTCCTGACCCGACGGTGGCCCCTGGCTGACTCCTGTGGATCTGGAGGGCACAGCATGTTTAAAAAGGTCATCTAGGGCTGGGGTTGGTCCTGGAGGCAGCCTGAGAGGTAGAGCTGTGGGGGTTGGGGAGGTCAGTGGTGGAACAGAGGAAGCTAGGTCATGTGGGAGTTCAGATGCCATCCTTGAGGCAAAGACCATCTCTCAACCTCCCTTCTCCTCTTCCCAGAATCCCTCTGTGAGCAAGGCCGGACTTGCCGAGGAGCAGAAGTAAAGGGGGCAGAGCTGGTTGCTAACCTGGGCACATTGCTTTGAAGCAAGGACCTCTTTTCCTACTTTCACCTCCCTGGGGCTGAGGATGGGGAATCTTCTATCAAGGAAAGCCGAGAGGAGTGACCTAGGGTACCCCAGTCCCTGGCCTGGGGACTTGGGGTCCAGAGGAGCTGTGCATGTTGGGAAGGAAGCCCCGGTGGAGATGGTGTTGCCAGGAGCTATGGGAGCACAGGTCACGGGGAGACGAGGAGAGGGTGGCAGTCCACTTGCAAGGAACCCGGAGCTCCTGCTGTGGCCAACGCTGGCTGGGGTACTGGGGAGGCGGAGGCCAGCAGGCCGGTGGGGAAGGTAGACAACACTGTCGAGGGGAACAAACATGTGAGAAGGCTGTTTAGTTAGTGGTATAGAGTGACTGAGGGACCACTTGGAAGGGCGGCCAGGAAAGGCCGCTCTGATAGGGCAGCATTTGTGCGGAGACCTCAGTGGCGCAGAGAGATTAGTGGCTTGCCCCAGAGCCCACACGAAGTTCAGGTAGAGCTGGGCTAGGACCTGTCTCTTGACAACCATTCTAATCATCCTCCTTGCAGAAACATCCTTCTCTTGCATTCTGACATGTTCTTCTGGTTTCCGTCTTAACCCTGTTGGACATTGCTTCTCTGAGGACTGGCTCATCTGAGCCCCACCCCCGGTGTTGGCTGCTCCCACTCCTTCTTTCTCTGGAAGGTGGCCTTTCACCCACTATCCCTTCTGCACCCTGAAGACTCCCAAACTGCTACTCCATCCCTCACCTCTCCCCGAGTTCTTCCAGTGTCCTGCTTGACCTTGGATGTCTGTGGCTCTCTTGGTTATGACAATGAGTTGATATAATAGAGACCTGAAATTAGAGTAGTTTAAAAATATTCAGTTGACTGTTTTCTCATGTAAGAGCTCCAAGGGAAGTGTTTCAAGTTGGTGGATAGCTCTGCCCCACAGGGTCATGTAGGGATCCAGACGAACAGGAAGGATCCAGGGTCTGTCTGGTAATCACTCTTCCAGTCGGTATGGGGAAAAATACGGAAGCTTAGGGTGGGACTTTCCTCTCATGCAAGTGGGACAGAATTCGAACCGTTGACTTCTGCTGACATTGCACAGATGACTCTTTTGACACACGGCCCAATCTTAGCTGCAAGGGAAGCTGGGAAAGGTGACCCAGCTGATGGACAGCTGGCAGTCTCTGCCACAGCCCCCCTTCTGGAACCATGAGGACTTCCCTGCCCTGGTGGTGGAGGAAGTTCTTGCCCTGGGTCTCCCTGGCCCTTGACTTTGCCCTTGGCAAATTCCTTCTTGTTTATTGCTCTCCACTACCGCCCTATGGGGTATTGAAGGTCTATCTTCTTCCAGCACATACTTGCAGTGGAAGGATCATGGGCTTTTGAAGTCCAGCCTTGCAATTTTGTTGATAATAATAATTCCTTCAGAAACTCGGCCTGCCTCTAGTCAGTTCCACGTGCCAGCAACCATACCCAGAGCTCCTTTCCTGTCTGAGTTATTAAGCCTGCCTGCCTTGCCCAACTCCTCTCTCTCTCGTTGTAATGAAAGCTATCCTCAAGGCATCTAAAATAATGGACTTGAATGACAAGGCAACAGTGCTAATACAATACTTCGCTGCAGGGGCGATCCCACTGCCTGGTGTCACAGACAAGCTTGGAGAGAGGCTGCAAACCACGACAGTCTGATCTTCTGCTCTTTGGACAAAACCAGCTGGGCTTTGCAGCCCTGACAATAGCGCTTCTCTGTATTAGCTCCCCTTCTGCTCATCTCAGCTTGCAAACTAGCCAGTCTCTTTGCTGGAGTCTCAGGCTAAAAGCATCATTGAGCAGCCAACATGTGCAAATGTTTTTAGCTCTTTGCAGCCATTTTTTTGGAATTACAGGCTCAGTGGTCATGTGGCCCATCTTCTCAATTATCACAGGTAATGTTTTTCATAAATGTTTTGTCACAGCATAACAAGGGTCACCAGCTTTCCATCCTCCACTCCTGGTTTCTGTACTCCTTACCACCTGTTGCCAAAGCCAGTGCCATAGATTTTAGGTTTTTATACGTGGTAGCTTTGCATTCCTGGTACCAATTTCTGTATTAGAGTATTGCTAAGCCGCTGTTAAAAGAAAATCCCAAATACAATGGCCTTCAGATTACATAAATTAATTTTTCTCTCACATAACATAGTTCTGATATGAGTATCCAGGCCTTGCCTGCATAGGTAGAGGACTTTGATGGCTAGCCAGCAGACTCCACAATGGCCCTACCCATCTCCAGCCTTCCCACCCCCCACTGCCATGTCCCACGTCTACCACTTGCTCAGGCCAAATCCATAAAAGTCAACCTTGATTCCTCCCACCACCCCACATAATCCATCAGCAAGTCTTCTCCTTCTATCTTCAGACACATCCCAAATATGGCCTTTTCCCGCCCTCTCTTCCCCCAGTCCGCATCTTCAGTGTCTTGTATCTGGGTGATGGTCTTGATCTTGTAAGTGGGTTCCCTTCTTCATCCCCACCCCTCTCCAGTCTGTGCCTCCCATGGCAGCTGGAGTGAGCTCTTAAAACAAGAATTGAAGCATGTCGCCTGCCCTAGACTCCCCAGTGCCTTACCGTTGCCCTTAGAATAAAATGCTGTCTCCTTAACATGGCCGTCAAGGCCTTCTGTGACTGTCCCTGCTTCTCATTGCCCCCTTCCCACTCTGCTTTAGCCACATGGCTTTTCTCACTGGCTCTTCCCCTCCTTGGTGCATTTGTCCTAGGATTCCCTTTGTCTGAAACACTCTCCTTACGCTCTCACTTGGTCACACTCTGGTTCCTTCTTTGTACTCCATAGGACAAAGGGCTTCAGTGAAAGTTAAGAGGGAGGGCTCAGGAGAGGAGTCACCCGGGTTTGAATCTCAGCTCTACTGCTTACTAGCTGTGTGACCTTGGGTAAGTTGCTTACCTGTTCTGTGCCTTGGTTTTTCTGTCTGTTAAGGACAATAACAAAAGTATTTGTTTCCTAGAGCTGTTGAGCTAACACATAAAAAGTATTAGAGCATGGCCCGTATTAAGCTCGTAGCAGTGACACTATTGTCCCTCAGCGTCACCTTAAAGATCGACCACTCTGAGAAGCTTTTCCTGCCCCCGCCTTCTGCACCTTTCTCCATCTGCATCTCTCCCACATCACCCAAGATCAGGGTCTTGTTTTGAGATTTATTGTCTGCCCCACACACTGGAATGTAACCCCTGAGCTGGGATCCAGGAGGTCCTTAATGAATCTGTTGAACGGCTGTGGAAGGAATGGAGGCCAAATCCCACTGATTCCCTCCTTTCCCCGTGGCCCTGTGAGCCTGGCTGGGTGCCTGTGGAAGGGAGTGGGGAAGATGGAGGCAGGGTGAGCTGGGTTCTGTGCCTGCCACCCTTGAGACCCATGTGGTCTGGGGTGGGGGGTGCTCACAGTTCCTTCTTGGGGGTCAGGGAAACCAGGGGACCTGCTCTCAGAAGCCCCAGGGGGCACTGGTAGGTACCAGCCCTCAGCACAAGGCAGTAATAGCACCGGCTGGTTCCATCCATTACTAAAGGACTAGCTACTTATCCTCTCTGTGCCTCCACTATGTCGTATGTAAATTTGGGAGAATACCAATTACCTCACAGGGCTGTTATGAAGATTAAGTAGGGTAATATATGTAAAACGAAGCTCCCTGGGTGGTTCGGAGTGAAGCTCTCCAGATTGTAGTTATTATCATTGTTATTAGTGCCTATCCAAGTGTCATTCTTCTGAGCATGAATAGGGGGCTGGTGCCTGGGGGACCTGGGGGTGGGGTTGTGGGGAGACAGAGCGAAGATGGCTAGGGAAGGGGAGAACCGGAATGGAATAATCGGGCTGTGTTTTTATTCGTCCATGGCTCTCTGTGCGTGTTTGTGTGTGTCTATGGATTTGCGTTTGTCTGGGGAAGGGTGACGAGGATCCAGAGAAGAAACCCAACCTTTTCTCCGAACTCAGTTCTGGGGAGCTAGGTGCCCCGCTGTCCCGGCGCCCGGCTCTCCCCGCTCCGAGGAGGGCTGGGAGCTGCCTCCACCACGCGCCCAACGCAGAACCCGCGGCGGAATCACCAGCGTCTTGAGTGTGTGCATTTGGGATCTGGGAGGGGGAAGGGGACCTGCGCCGCCGCGGCCACCACGGTCGGTAGCAACTTGGGGATCCCAGGACGGACAGCGGCAGCCCAGTGTCCGCCGATCCGAGCCCCCCGCCCCCCATCCGCCGGCTCTCCGGCCACCCCGCCCCGCCGCGTGCTCCCGGGGCCTCGGATGCTCCCGGAACCCCGCGGGCGGGGCCTGCCTTCCGGAGCCGGGTTGGCTGGGGGCGGGCGGGCGGCGCTGGGGAAAGGGCCGTTACTTTCCCAGAGCGGCGGGGCGACGTCAGGCGGAAGGGCGCGGGGCGCGCACGCTTTAAATGGCATTCGCTGTCATCCGAGCTCGCGGCCGTGTGGGCAGGAGCGGGCTATATAAGCGGCGGGCCGGGCCGCCGCGGGGCAGACGGTGACTGCCGCGGCGGCGAGCGCCCGGGAGCGCAGCCCAGCAGCGTGCGCCGAGCCCCGCATCCCCCGACGGGCTCTCCCGCCCGCCCTCCCGAGAAAAACGCCGACCCGGGCCCGCGAGGGCCGCCGCCACCCCGCAGCAGATTTGGATCCCCCGCCCGGCGAGCCCCAGGCTGCTGCCTCCCGGGGGGCCCCGGCGCAGCGGCCGCCCCCCGAGAGCCCCGGCGCCCCGCCGCCCGGCCCCGAAGACGCCGGCAGCGCCATGGCGGCCGCCAAGCCCGGCGAGCTGATGGGCATCTGCTCCAGCTACCAGGCGGTGATGCCGCACTTCGTGTGCCTGGCCGACGAGTTCCCGCAGCCCGTGCGGCCCGCCAAGCTGTCCAAGGGCAAGGGCCGGCTGCGGCGGCCGCGCCAGTCCCGCTTCAAGACGCAGCCGGTGACCTTCGACGAGATCCAGGAGGTGGAGGAGGAAGGGGTGTCCCCCATGGAGGAAGAGAAGGCCAAGAAGTCCTTCCTGCAGAGCCTGGAGTGCCTGCGCCGCAGCACGCAGAGCCTGTCGCTGCAGAGGGAGCAGCTCAGCAGCTGCAAACTGAGGAACAGCCTGGACTCGAGCGACTCCGACTCGGCCCTGTGAGGGGCGCTGCCCGGGGACCCGCGAACCCGGCCCCAGAGGGCCCGCGCTCCGCGCCCCGGGGGCCCGCGAGGACCGGGACCTCTCGCCGGGCTGCGAACTGCTCGGTGCGCCCCGCGCTGCGCCGCTCCCGGGCCGGAGCACGCGGGGCTGCCGGGGAGGGGGGCCGCTTTCTTTGCCCTTGTAAATGTTTATTTTTTAACTCTTCCCAGTACGGACTCTGCCGTGAGTGTGTGCGGGAGGCGCGCCCGCGCTGAGTCGGCGCTGGGTCGCCGGGGCTTCCCCGAGAGCCGCTCCACGCCCTTGTCTGAGGGTCTGCAACTCCGATTCCGCTCACCGCTCCGCCGTGCCCCCTTCCCCAGCGCTCACCCGTTCACACTCACGCCAACACACTCTCGCTGAACACTTTTATAATTGTTAGGCGCGGCTGATGGGACTTGGGGCGCAGCTGCTGCTGCGGCCGGAGGACTGATATTTATTTTTGCATTGCGATGGCTGACGGCGTTTATTTAACGATCTTTTTACTTGGATATGTCTGTGAGGCTCCCGAACGGAGACAAATAAAGTCAATATATTTGCACAGTGCATTTCTCCAGGCTCTTGACTTCTTGAACCTTCGGGGCTCAGGCTCCTGAGACTGGGGGAGGTGGGAGAAGGATGTGGTTGGAATGGGGGGTGGGATCCCCGGGTAGAGGTAACTCCACAAACTTCAATCACCGGAACGAGGTCGCGCCCGGGGTTCCCCGGGGCGGTTACTCGCCTCCCCAAGTGGATCCATTCCCGGCTCCGAGCGCTCCTGCCTCCCTACTCCGTTCCCCATCGCCGGCGTCCGGGATGGAGGGAGACGCCCGCGAGGCGAAGGTCGGCGCCGTGAGGACAGAGAGAACGTTCCTTGGTGAGGTTGACTTCTCAGGGAGGCCGGGTCAGGGTCATCGTCCCGCCTTCACCGCAGAACACCGTACTCCCTCGGCGCCCCTTCCAGGCGGCGGGTGGGGCGCTGCCCGAGCCAGCAGTGGGAGACCTGGGAGGGGATATTTGGGTGGTGGGACCCGACAGAGTGCTGCGTGTCCCCTGCGCTGACTCAGCCCCGTGCCGGGCGCCCCTGCACTGCCCCCAAGCAGACAGTGGCCGTTTTGGTTCTTCGTCCCCTTTCTCCAGCCTCCTTGGCCCTCTTCAGGGCTGTTCAAGGAGAGTGGGGCATGTCTTTGGTCAGAGCCTGAAGGGCGCTTGGGTACCACTGAGTCTTCCCACCCCCTCTGTTTACAGATGAGAAAACAAACTTAGGGGAGAGGGAGAGGCCACACAGAAAGTAGTGGCGGCGCAGTCAGCTGTCCTGACTCGCGTCCAGAGCTCTCTCCATCATGCCAATCCCTTTCCAGTGTCTCCGGCAGCTGCCCCGCACCCCTGCCTACACCCTAAACCCTGAGTTGGCAGTGTAACACTATCACCTGGCAGTAGGTGGCGATCTATGTAATAAGCAACATCCGGTGGAAGAGGGCAGGTCCCGGCACTTGGGGCCCCCACCCAGCCAAGCCCTCCAGGATTGCTCCAGATCTGACCCACGGAGCCAGGCCCTGGACGGAGTAGTTCAGAGATCCGTGCAGAGTTTGGGAGCTTTCCCTCCTCCGCCTGCCGCTTCTCTGGAGATTGCAGTTTCTGTTCTCGGGTGCCCTCTCGTGGTGGGGCTGGTGCTGGAGCTCAGCTCAGCCCGCAGGGCATCTGTACTGCCTCTTGACACCACGCCTCTCCTAGCCCTGGACTCTGCAGAAGAGGGGAGCCGAGGAAGTGAAACAAAGAAACAAAAATAGAACCCGCAGGGCCTGAAAGAATGTTCTTCCATCTAGGAGGCCAGCCCAGGGCCTTGGGGGTCTTTGGCGCTGCTTAGCCCAAGGGAACACACTGGCCACTGCCGTCCCAGGCCACAGCTTCTCTGTGCTTGGGGTTCCTGACAGAAGGCCCTTAACTTCAGCAGCCACAGCCTGGCCATGCAGCCATGAGTTCAGGCTTTGATTCCAGCAGCATGGCTAGGCCGGTTTGAGCTCCTTGGGGAGAGAGGGGGCTGGCTGAGACTTGGAATGGTACCCCCAACCCAACCCTGTTCTAGTCCCTCATCCTCCTCCCCTGTCTTATCTTCCGTCTTTAGCAGTAGGTTGTGTTTCTGCTGTTTAAGTGGTGGGTGCCCCAAGCCTTCTTGGGAGGGTGGTTCCACACCCTTCACGTTTGAGATCCTAGCTGGACGGCTCCCCTCTGGGCACTGCTCCCCTGCCGGTACCCTTTGCCCCCTGAGAGCCTCTTCTGTTCACCTTCAGCACTGGCCCCAGCTGAAGACCTACCTGAAGTGTCTCTTTGGGTCACCCTGGCCAGTCTCCGGGGATTGCCGTGGGATCTGTCACATATCTGATCACTCTAGTTCTTGTTTAGCCTCTGGGAGGGGCCAGCACCCAGTTGGGGCTTCCGAAATGTTTGTTGGGTTAAAATCAATAAAGGGGCAGCAAAGAAGATTGACGCCTATCTTGACTATGTCCTGGTGGGCTTTATTTGTTCATCACAAAAAAAAGTTCCTTATACTCCCACCACCCTGAAATAAATATGTGATTTTGGACATTATGCATATTTCTTTTCTTTTACAAGACAGGTTTATGCTCTAAATACTACTTTTAATCCGCTTTTGACTTACCTGGGTTTGTGTTTTACACCCGTATGTATGGCTCTACTTCATAATTTTTATAAAATTCTCTTGAATAGATACCGAACACTTAATTAAGCCAATTTTCCTCCCTTTGGTATAAAAATGATGTCCTGTTTGTCCCAGTTTCTTAATATCACCCGTAACTAGCAGTGAGTTCTAAGGGTTGGATACAGAAAGATGTTTAGAAGAGGCAGTGACCCCGAGAGGGCCTGGGGGAGGGAGAGGAGTTTGGAATGCTCTATTATCAGAGCGAGCAGGCTGGGGCAGGGGTGCTGGGGCCCTCTGGTTCTGCGCATGTCCGCCCGCCATACACAGAGGAAGAGGGCAGATGAGGGATCGGGGTGCTGCTCCAGGGTCCCTGGGGAACTTGCAGGACTCAGCGGCTCCTTGTGGCTTGAAGGCGTTCCAAGGCAGCACACAGCTCCAAGGAGGCAGCTGGGCTCGAGGTCAAATGGTGGAAGAGGAGGAACCAGAGGGAGAGAGATGGGCCGAGGGAGCAAGAGAGCATGAGAACCAGCAAGGCAGGGAGGAATAAGGCCGCTTGGGGAGACTCGGAGACCTCCAGAGATGGGAAAGTGCAGAGAGCTACACACTCAAGACTCAGGAGCCCCGGAAGCTGTCAAGAGATGGAGAAGAATCGGGGCGACCGTTGGAGAGAGAGAAGAAAGGCGGGTGGGTGAGGGGAGGGGCCCCCAGAGAGTAGGAGGGAGGGAAGGCGGCTGCGAACGTGCTCGGGCACTGGGGGAGAGAGAAGCCAGAGACAGCGCCTCTCAGGAGCTGTAGAGCCGGCGTGTGCCTGGGGTGGGTGGAAGCCTGCCCAGCCGTCTGCCGTCTGCCACCGGGATTTACAGGCTTGTCCAAGGAGCCGCCTCCTTCCTTCCCTTCCCCACCTGGGCCTCAGCCCACAGTCCTAGCCTGGGTGATGAGTTTTCAAACAAGCTGGAGCCCAGGGGAGGTAACAAGTGGCCGTCCCAGGCCTGGCCGGCAGTCTCTTGTAAATATTTCCCTTCGGGCCTCGGGGAGACATTTATCAGGGTGCTTCTCAGACTGGTTTGCAAGCCAGCTCGGCCTCTGAGGCCACTTGCTGCGGGGCGGAGAGAGAAGGCCTATCTGCTGTCCCAGGGAATTGGGGTCTGCTGTGGACTTGGGATTCCTTCCTCAGGGAGCACGTGTGGAGTACCCCTAGACCCACTGAGCTCTGGCAGAATGGGAAGGGGATAAAGAAAGGCTACCGTTTAGTGGGTACCTCCTGCTGGAACTCGACTTTCGTCCTGATAACATTTCTCTGGCATTTCACACATGAGGAAACTAACAAGGATCAGAGAGGTTCCGTTTCTTGCCCAATGCCACACAACTTGTCGGTGGTGAGCAGGGGGGCAACCCAGGGCAATTGTTTTTCTTTTTTAATTTCAGAATTTTTAAATCCTGTGCTCTGTCTAGAGTATGAACCCCAGATCTAACCATAACTTCCCATGGCAGCCGTGAGAAATGGCCTTGCAGACTTGGGACAGACACAATATTGATCAGAGCAGCCCTAGCTCTGACATCCATCCCATCCCCTCCCCGCACGAGCTGCTTCCCACCAATGACCATGTGCACAGCTGGGGACACTAGGGCAGAACCCTTCTAGGAGACACCGATTTGTTTCTTGGTCGGCTTTGGTTTGAGGATTTCCCAGTGGCTCTGTTGAAGCTTTCTTAGATTGCCACAGTCATCTCTCTCTGTCCCCTTCTCTCGGGATCGCTCTTGCATGGAGGCCTGCCCTGCTGACTCCCTCAGACCTTCACTGGCTCCTTCTAGTTCATTTCCCACGTGCATGTCTCCTAATGACATCCTTGCACATGTAACCCTCTCTGGGCCTCTGCTTCTTGGAGACTCTAGGCTAGCACACCCTTCTGTCCCCTAGCAGCTTCCTGGGGTTGCCGTGTGTCTCTCCCAGGCACCCACCAGTACAGGCTGGGCATCATTTTAGAGGGTACTATAGAGTACATTCTGGATATGGCAAAGTTGGCCAAGCAAACGTGTGTCATTGTGGTCTGCTGGCCCAGCGTTCTGGATTGGCAATAAGCGCGTGCCTGGGGTGAGAGGGCCAGGGCCTCCCACAGAGACCAACGTCCTCTCGGCTTATGCTCAAGGCCATGTGAGTCATGAGGACAACCTGCCCATTCAACTCCCAGGCGCAGGGAAGGGCCTGCCAATTGCCCACCAACACTGATTTCCTGCTTCATCCAGGGCACACAGCCAGCCTCTAAGTCCCTCCTGCTTGTAGATCTCTCAATGTGATTACATTCTTGCCAGTGGCGTATACTAGCAAGGGAACTGGGTTCCTCCCAGGTCTTAGCCTTAAATCGAACCCTCCTACCACCCCACCCCCCCATGCCCTCTTTCCCCTTCCCACAAGTGGGAATGTGCATGCGTCTGCGACCCAACAGTGATCAAACTGCTGAGGCCAATGGCCTAGAGGATGACAGGGCAACAGGACGGAAGGCCCCCAGGCTCCTGGATGACCTTGTGGAACCCAACAGCCTGCCAATCTGGAATGGTCACCATAGACTATTACATGTGAAACACGTTTTCATCTTCGTTGAGCCACTAAATCATTATAGACTCTCATTCTTACAGCCGCCTTCCCTGACCCTAAATAAACAGAGAACAATACTGGTATACTGGCAGTTTATTACTGCTGTTTTAGCAAAACCCCTACAAGATGAGGCATTGACTTAGTGGTTTTGCTGCAGGTGGGAAGGGTACAGGTGTTGCAGGCTGGGAAGTTGGATAGTCTTGTTATACCTTGGAAAAACAGCAATAAAACCATTTTTATGACGCTTGGGAAGGCTGGTCGTATACTGGCTGAGCTCACAGCTCTAGGAGAAGTGGTTAGAAAGAGCTGGAATAT